TGTGTGTGTGTGTGTGTGTGTGTGTGTGTGTGTGTGTGTGTGTGTGTCGTCACTTAGGCTTGAAGAGGAAGTGAAGGTATTTTTAGTTGAGAGTCTCGAATGTTTGAAGGAGATATATTGGGGGGTCAGACACCTGGTCAAAGTCTTCAGAGGGTACAGGAAACGGACGGTGAGCACAACTGGTAGAGGTACAGGGGGAGGAGAGGGGCTGGGATCCTAAAAGATATCTTCTGTTATTTTTAGGGTTATTAATGGGGAGTTGGTGCCAGGGGAAGACAGGCTCTGCTCCTCGCTCGTACATTGTTTTTTTCACAACTTTCAAAGCATTTTAAGATCGACTTGCTCTCTCTGAGTGCTACTGTATATTTCCTGTTGAAAGCAGAAATTGGGGCAAGTCATTTTTAGAATGTAAAATGGGACTTTCGTATAAATACACATCTTGGTGTTATTTTGCAATTTACTTTTAAATGTATGTGCATTACAGCAGGGAAATGAGATCAAATAATGTCTTGTTTTTGTTTCAGTATGAATAACTTTTACTATTTCCAATAGTCAACACTGCTGCCACTTGAGGCTGCCAAAGCACTTCCCTCATGCAGGTTTGAATCTCAATACATTCAAAGTACAACCGTGACTTGCTGCATTCAGTCAGTTAGTGGAGCTATGGAAGTATCAGCACTTTACTCATAAAACTGCCATTTCTAATTTCTGTCTTTCCCTTTCTCTCTATATTGAAGTCCTTAAAGTAATAAACTCAAAGAGTTTCATTTAAATAATGTCTGTTAAGTCACTATCTAACGCCGAACGACGTGACACAATGCTGATTAAGCTTATGACCCATTGATGAAAGCAATGTAATTTACAGTATTACGAACAGAGAGTCTGTGGTGACATTAGCTGAAATGCCCGACACTGTTTAGATCTCTGGCATGTGAGATCAAAAACACACCTGCAATTACCGCTTATCGCCATGTGATCACCTAAGACCTAAGACCTTCCAGATTGTAACTGTAACCTTCTTTAACAGAACTAGAAAGGTGCACTCAGTAGAGTACCGATCTCGGCCAGCTGTGTCTGCAATGACCACTAATGTGTTTAATGTGTGGGTGAATTGAATAAATTCCCCTCCCACCCGCCATGTCATTTTAAAGGTTGGTGACGTTATTATGACCACACATAATAACATTAAAAAATAATCACAACCATCTCCAATGCTTACTAGTGTCTTCTAGATGAAAGATTGATTAATGGAGTGCCTCATGTGAGTCACGAAACACAAATGTGTAAAATCTGAAATGCCTTCAAAGGCCATTTACATCTGGATATACTGGCAAACCCTTGAAATCACTAAAAAACTGCTCACAACTCTAAATGTTTTAGCGGACTTACTTGTAAATTCCAAAGGGCTGTTTATGGATAGGAAATTGAAAAGCAGAATTGCTTTGCAGTGAGTAGTCTATTAGCATCGAGGGAAGGGAGCATCTTATTTTGTTTAAGCCCATAATACAGACAAATTGGCACATTACAATTAATTACCATTAACAGCAACAAAAGCACTGTAGATAATGAAGTGCGATGGCAGTTAGTGCATAGCAGGTATCAATTAGACTAATAGAACAAGAAACAACCAACTGCTGATTACCTCTTTAATACTGTTTTTGTAAGAAGATATTATTTTACATTATGTCGGCTCCTATATGCTCTGAGTCAATGCAAGCCTCTCTTTTTCTCTCTCCTTGTTGTTTACCAGCTGTCCTCTCTCACTGACTGGAGGCACCATACGGCATCTGAGCAGCACACACGCACCACCACAAGAACATACATACACAGATGCGTTCTGTATATTCAAAGACGCAGATATAATTACCTGCACACATACACACACACACACAAACACACACAAACACATGCATACATACACATTTTGAACACAATCTCCCCAAAACAAACACTACCATTAATTAAGAAAAAGTGTCTCTGATGATGCCGTCGGATCATTATCAGGGCTTTATCCCATCCGGTTCCATTAGAACACACATTCTCACTCAAGGATGGACATGGGAGGACTTCAGGAAGAAAGTCAGAGCAGTCAAATTGTACTGGTTGGGTGAGAGACAAGGTAAATAGACTCATAATGAGTCAGTTTGTTTTCCACTGGCAAATGATGTTTATAAAAAGACTAAGAGGCAGACAGAGAGATTGTGCTGTGGACAGCATGGCGAAGCATGTAGACTATGCATGGCAGCGAGCTGAGGGCCCTGTGAGCCCCGTGTCCACCAGCAGCTCTCTTTTTAACTGCCAACACACAACAGAGGCCTGGATAATGGGCAACTGAACACCTGTTTGAAACACAATTATTAATCCTTGAGAATAACATGCCTATAATAATTGTCAATTTAGATACCATAACATAGAAATTGAACTTGTAACCAGTTCAGGAAAGCATTTCCATTTGCTACGCTCAGCGAGGAAAACGGACACCTTGCACAGGAGGCGATGCACAATTCTACAGAAATTCTAACTTCAGTCAGAGAAAATTCAAGGATGAAAACATCATAGTAGAAGGAATATCATCCAGTGCTTGGCACACTATTTATGTTGCCTTCAATGCCAACCATAGGAAAATCAAGACAACCCTTTGAAGAGAGAAATATGTGTCTCTCACAAATGCAAAAGAAGCATAAAGAGTTGATTCTATGGAGTCACCACCAGATGTTATTGTTTTCATGAATAGCTTATGACTTAGCGATAGTGCAAGTGGTACATATACTGTACTTGATACATTTCTGACAAACACAGAAGACCTTCATACAGTATAAGACTGCAGAAGCAGAAAAAACATTCCTCTTTCGCCCGGAAAAATTTGAACTGTACGAGGTCACTTACTCATTTATGCAGTAAAGCACAAAGAAAACATTACGAAAGCGTATCAAGCCGTTTGACCTCACACATGCACACCTCAGCTCACACATGCACATTTCAATAAAACACTACAGAGCTACAAGGTTTAACTTGACTGCAACATTTTTGCACAGTAATTACAACAAGAACTATGTTTTTCAAAATGGACTATATAATATAATATATAATAAATACACTGAATACTAACTTATAATTCAGCTGTGGGCAGTTTTGGTTCAAATGTGTTTCAGTAAAGCCTGCATGGTGAAAATACTATATTTACTCAGTCCGCGTCACCACATGGCAGCACAGCCTCGAGTTTTAACAAGACTAGCATCCAGAGAGACTTCTCATTAGTCCTGGGTTGGTGAAGAAGCTCACAGCCAATGGAACAAGAATGTCACTTAGCTAATAAATGTGCTGTGGACAGAAAGCTGGATGGACAATGAGACATACAGCACTCAATCATGGTCAATAAGCAGCACTTTCTGTTGGCATTTGGGAATTTTCCAAGTAGTTATTTTTAGGAATGATTCAAAATGATTGCAAAAAGGTAAAAAAGATAGTTCTGTTCTGATGCTGCATGAAACATAAGTTCTTTAAATACTGGTAGACTGATAAAACAGATCTGGACTCACAAGACTTAAGGACGTGCAGTTCCAGGTTTTGATAAACATTGAAGTATTTAGTGAATAATTAACTTTTAGACACTTTTAAATTAAGCTTGTAGCCAGTAAATTCAACATAACTGCATGAAGTTTAAGCATAATTGTGTTTTAATCAGTGTGTAGCTTTTGATGTTCAGTGTGTGTGTGTGTGTGTTTTTCGTGTGTGTGTGTGTGTGTGTGTGTGTGTGTGTGTTACCTGTCACATCGTGGTCCTGTGTATCCAGGCTGGCACTGGTCGCACAGCAACTCCCCTTCTTCACCTAGGTGGCAGGTGGGGCTGAAACTGTCGTAGTTGCCAGGATGATGTTGTTGTTTTTGTTGAAGTTGTTGATGTAATCGGTAGCGTTGTCCCAGTGTGCAGAGAGGGAGGAGGAAGAGGAGGAAGAGGAGAGAATAGAGGCGAGTTAAGGCCATTGTTGTGTCCTCATACACTCCCTACTTTCACTTTACAATCTTCACATTCACACTTTGTGACACACACACGCACTTAATTTTCTCTCTCGCACACCCACGCCTCTGTACTTCCACACACTCCTGAAAATGAAAACACTCTTTCTCTCTACGAACTGTAACTTCAATGAACTGAGAGAGAGAGCAGGAAAGAGTAAAACGATAGTCTCTTACCCTCGTTTTGTCACCCTCCCACTTCCATAAACTATAGATAGTTCTGCTGGCTCGGGTTCCAGGTCCCAGACTGACTCACTGGCTGACTGACTGGCTGGCTCGCTAACTGCAAGCTGGCTCACTGTGTTACAAATAAACTTATTTGGCCAGTGCATGTGAACATCAAAAGTCTTAGGTTATAATTATACCTAGGAGGTCTTATGAAACCAGCTGTAGTCAAGGTGCTGTAGTACTGCCCTTTCTAGATGTTGTTTGGAGGAAATGATGTGACTGAAGAACATGTGTAGAGTACATCACATCATTGCTGCTGCTGCAAAGAAACTACTTCTTAACTGTACTATACATGTCTTTCATTCATATGCAGTACTTCCAGAACATTGTTCACTTGTATTCCAAATTATATGATGCTACTTTAGGAGAGGGTCAAATGGATATAATCTACTATCATGGTACATGCAATTTTGAATCACACTGTTCCAACCATCCAAATATCACCGTAAAGCACATTTAAACATTGCCTAAAACAGCCTTTTATAACCAGGGATATAAACAGTATTGCAAAGGTTGTTAGATAAGTTTAATGACCAACCTACAAAATATCAAATGAGCATAAAAGGCTTGATTCAACACTGAGACACCACCGGAAATCACTTGGAAAGAGCCTCTGCCAAGGCGGCACAATCATCCAAATGAGTTACTCTAATAATAGAACTCATTTGAATCTTTTAATCTACATCTGCTCCAGATCTACATCAAAAGACAAATAATAATAGACAATCATCCGAATTTTTTGAGAATATCGAAATCCTGGGAGAATTGAGGCTTTTTACAAGGATTCATTCGGCAAATGTCAAGTGACAAAGACTAAAACCACAGAATGACTGCTTGTTATGTTGCTGCAGCGTCATCTATACTTAAAACAAGATACAGTTTGTGTGGGTTTGCCCATACTTGACATGGTTTAAAAGTAACCAATGGACTGCTGTGCTTACACCTGGAGAAGATGTCAGCCATTTGTGTTTTCATTTTATTTTGAATATGTATATAGGTGTATTTCTGACAGGTTTGCTAAGAATCCAAGCGATTGAGATCAAATTCATGTGTAAAATGTGACAGTATTTTCCATCCTTCAGAAATTATTCATTAGCTTTTTTTAATTGAATTTTTAGGAGAAACTTGATGCAACTTGAACACCCGTGATTTGTGACAATAAAGCCGCCACAGCATGATAAAAGGTTTTAAATACCTTAAATTACTTGTGGGAGGCCTGAGTTTCTACTGTGTTAATTTCTAGCCACAGTTGTATTGATTCTGCCAACGGTGATGACATTTCCACCCACAGGGATGATGTTTCTCCACTTATACTGATGCCTCTGCCTGTGGTGATGATATTTTTGTTCATGTCATTACAATTATATTCGTTTCCACAGTGATGAAGCCTCGATTTGTGGTGATATTCTTAAAAAGATGAGAAAATGTAGTCCGAGTGTCAGGAGAGGAGAGGGGAACATTATGAAGAGACGGGTCGAAGAGAGAGAATAGGGGCCACAGAGTGAAAGACAACTGTCGGGTCACCAGTGGTACATTGAAGTGTTTGGTTTAAAATAGATCACGACTACAAGAATTTGGCTACCTGTTGGAAATATTGAAAACAAAAATAATTAAAGAAAGAGAGACTGGGTGGTTTTGTAAGAACTGTGATGAACATAGTTATTAAAAATCTAAATCAAAGAGTAGATCTGTGTGGACATAACTGATTAAGGCTTTTATGGATCTTTAAATAAATTTCTCTAAAATCTGTTCTGTAGATTTAGATCTAATGGACAGACAAATAGACCGATTTAAAAAAAACGTTGCTGTAAATAAAGAGGAACAGCACTCCATGACTAAACTGATTTCTAACGATTCGCTGTAAATCGCCACCGTCCTTCCCATTCTCAAACTAATACGGACACCACTTTAAACATTACGGCTAACTGGAGCAGTCTGACTGGCTGGCTGGCTATTTGAGCGATTGGCTACAGTGAACATAAGGGACTAGATGGCTATTTGAGGGGCTGGAAGGCACGGCACACCTTCAAGCTATTATTACTGCAGGGGGTTTAGGGGGAGGTAGGGAAGGGGGGAGGTGAGAGACAGAGAGAGTTGCATCTTTCTTTAGCTCTGAGAATTTTGGACATGACGTGTTGTGTCTGCCTGAAGATTCCCAGCTGCTGCTGCCTGTGTATATGTGTGTGTATAAGTTTATGTGTGCGTGTGTGATGCTGGTGACATATCTGTGCACCAAACACACAGCATCCCTCTCTGGTCATTTGGAGATAATGCAGATCTATGATAGCAGAAATAGAGATAAATATCGAATTTAACCAGTATGTAGTATATGTTGTACTTATGACAACATCAAATTAACTTTCTGTTCGAAAAACTTCCAACAAGGTATTCTGACATCCACCATTTAGTCAAATCTGTGACCAAACAAATAATAACAACATTGTTGGAGCATTATCTGTAGGTGTGTTAGTCCAGTTTTTCTGCGGTCAGTTTACTGCCAACTAAGCAGCATCTCAAGTACCAGTTGAATTACTGTGGGGCTAACTGGTATCTTTGTACTTTGGATGTCTTGTGTACGTTGACTAGATTCATTGATGTACTATACTTCCTAGATTTAAGGGGTAACTTTGATATTTTACAAACTGGAGCCTATTTTCCTGTGTTTGTGTCTATGTGTTTTGTGTTCAACAACTTTTGAAATTGGCCCAGTCTTTAGCCGGAGCACTACAGTCGGCTGCAACGTAACACTTCGGTGCAATTACGCACTGTAAATGCAAATCAACTAAAAGTGCTTGCTTTTTTCACTGACAGGCTCAGATAGTTCCATAATGTCTGACAACATTATTGAAAGGACGCTACAGAGAAATAAAACACTGTTCTTACTTTTCGTTTGATTCGGTCTGTTTGTTATCGTGTCTAACCAAGTCTTGCTCAAAGAGAAGTCTCGTTCTGAAATCTCGCTACAGTCTTTAGGCCTCATCCACATTAATAACAGTAACAGACAGACTGGATCAAGCAAAAGGTAAAGACAAATATTGTATTCCTCTGTAGGGTCCTTATCCTTAATCTTGTCAGACACTTATTAAAACAATCTGAGCCTGTCAGTGGGAAAAAAACAAGCACTTTAGGTGGAAATAGCATTGATGCTACGGATTGCACCAAAGCATTACATTGCAGCCCATTATGCAGCTGCAGCGCTCTCACTCTGGACCAATTTAAAAAATAGTTTTCTCCATTCGTCACTTAGTCCAGGTTAAAAACTACAAAAGTTTCCCTTTAATGTTGCTCTTTGGCTTTGTTTCTCCCTGGCATGACATTCATTTGATGATTTGTAACTCTATGTGTTGTGCAATACTGTTTTCAAAGTGTTTACAAGTGCTTTCATTAAAGACTTGAAGGGTTTATTTATTTAACCCATTACATTTTTAGTAGGGTGTTAAGCTTGTATAATAACTTTGAGCTTACACACATAGTGAGGGTAGAAGAATCGAGATTACAGCAGCTACTAATTGGACCTTGCTGTGAGACTGTCTTGTCACTGTTTCCAAGTTTAAAGTTGATCAGGGTCAACAATAACCTTCCGCTGGGCCAGCATGGGGCAGACACCAAACATAACAGCAACAAGGGCAGCAATAAGATGACTTCTGCTTGGCACAGGTGGACCACGATGCAATGAAGTAGAAAAGCTCTTTCTTCCTGCATGAACCATCAGGTCCCGAACACATGCCTCTCAAGTGGGCCGATAGCATTTTTATTATATTTTCAGCAGATACCTGCTGTTACTTGAACAACCGTGATTTGAGACTGTGAAGCAAGCACAGCTCGGGTGTTTTTTTTTTAATACCTTAATTACTTGCATGAGACTTGAGTTTCTACTGTGTTAAGGTTTCTAGCTGCAGTTGTGTTGATTCTGCCAACAATGACGACATCTCTACCCACAGGGATGATGTTTCTCCATTTAAATTGATGCTTCTATTGGACCTGTGGAGATGATATTTCTATTCATGTCATTACAATTATATCCGTGCCCACAGTGATGAAGCCTCGATTTCTGGCGATATCCTTTAGGGACAAAAACGTGTAGCCCGAGTATCAAGAGAGGAGATGAGAACATGATGAAGAGGCGGGTCAAAAAGAGAGAATAGGGGCCACAGTGCTGAGGGGTCAGCAGTGATAGATTGAAGTGTTTGATTAAACCGTGCCCTCCATGGCACCATTAACCCCAGTGTCTTCATAACCTACTTGTTACTTGGAAGATTGAGTGGGCAGGCGCAGGGCTGACAGTCCGCAGGTGACCCTCGGGTGGCGTTGCCATAATAACCAGGTAGGCAGGAGTCACAGTGTGGGCCTGTGGTGTGGTGGGAGCAGTCCTGGAAGAGATACACAGGTTAAAGTAATCTATATCAGGAAAATAAATAAAGTGATTGTAAAAAAAAAAATGTCACTTTTAGAGTTAACCTTCGTGTCATTTTGCCGCATTGATGGAAATCTCAACACGCCAAGCAGGAAGCAGGAAGATAAGAAACCATTAAATGTGTAGGTCTTCTTTTCAAATGTTCTTCAGGTTAGTCAGTCAAGTGGTCTTTTCTTGAAAAACTTTGAAAAAACCCTCAAAAATGATAACTTTACATCATCTTTAGCGTAAAAAACAACAACCAAACAGCTAACAACAGACCTGAGAGTAATTCATGTTACATTTTGCTGGAGGTTGGTGAAACTAAGGGTTACAGCTCTGCAATAAGAAGAGCAGACACTCGGTGGCACAACAAAACTGTTGTTATTAAATAAAGCTGTCACATTAAATCATTGTCAAGCAGCAGGAGGAACAATCCCAACGAGGTCAAGGTTAATGATATGGTTCAGGATTAACATCACATTTTGTTCCCATAGTAACCAAGCACATATGACTCACAGGTACATCCTCAACCAAAGACGCAACAACATCCCTCACAATCCTGTTAACACATGTGAGTATTGGTATCGATTACTCGTGCTGACGACAAACGGTGTGCTGGTACATTCACAAACGTGAACGTTTTCCTACAAAGCTGTTCAAAATGATCCATTTTTTATTTATTTTTAGTATTATTTGTTGAATATTATTTTATATTATTATTCTTTCTTTTGTGACTGGTGTATTATTGGTCTTTTCTCTTTGTGAACAAATGTAATTCAATATGAAAATAAAACCAACAACACTACGAGTCCAGTTTTCTGTATTTAAATATTTCGGTTTAAGATCATTTTACTACTTACTGTAAAATGAAATTGTGTTACTCCCACTGGGGAAATCAGGTTGTCCTTTCTTTTCATTTCTGGGCCAACAAATCCCTGTTTTGATAAGTTCAGCTCCAACAAGAGTTGCTATCATGTAGCTGCTGTGTGTAAATCTACATGTTTGTTTTTCCTTTACAGATCAAATGTCTCTTCATGGCCACGGCAGCATCAGTCAGTCGTTCAACTACAGCCAGATAACACATTCCTAGGGGAAGGAGTGTGTGTCCATCTGTCTGTCTGCTTGTCACTGTGTATGGACATGTCAGTGTTTGTGCCTGTGTGTGTGTGTGTGTGTGTGTTCGTGCGTGTGTGAGGGACTAAGAGACATCCTGCTCGTCGTCTGTCTGTCTTTGTCTGGAGTGTGTGTTCTCTCTCCGACATATCCCAGCATCCTCCTCATCTATAATAAAACATAAGATGATAATACAAAACCCACAGCTCTATGTGTGTGTGTGTGTGCGTGTGTGTGTGTGTGTATATTTAGTTTGATACTAACTGACAGCTTAAGCCTGAGGCAATGTGTACACTGGGGAATGACAATGTGTGTGTGCAGAATGATGCACATGAGCAGGTGGGCATGTATATGTGTGTGTGTGTGTGTGTGTGTGTGTGTGTGTGTGTGTGTGTGTGTGTGTGTGTGTGTGTCTCTACAGTATACTTAAATGTGTATGTAAATTGTTTGGGTGTTTGGGTGAAGCCAGGGTGCAAGTCTTTTCACCTGCAGTTCCTCTGATGGCCACTAGATGGTGGTTCCGAGGAAATAGTATTGGTGAAGTGATTTCTAACTTCACTATTAAAAATAATACAGTCAATATGTATTATTTTACATGAGACATCGTGGTTTCAGTGAACTATAAATTCTTCTCTGATTTGTGTTTTGGGCATAAACTGATATTGAGGGTTGGGTGGTGTCCCATTTCTAAGCTTCTGCAGGATATCCACGCCGGTTAGCGATTGTTTTGCTGCCCTTGCTATTAGTGATCTAAAGACATCACTACATTTTCCAGTAAATGTAATGATGATGAATTGGGTTGACGGCTTTATGAGTTAAAGGGAAATTACAGTGAATAATATGTAGAGTACAATCACAATACAGGCAATACTGCTGTAAATTCATACATTCTGCACATTTTGGTATTATCTTTTGACATTCTGTAAACATCAAAAGTGATAAAGCTTTTTCGTGAAAGTTTTTAAATTTGCTGCCCTCAAAACTTGATGTCTGGTACTTCCCTGGAAAAAGAGACGTTTTTGTCATTTTTTCCATCAGAGTACATCAGTTCTGTGTGATTTTGAGCACTGATTGAAACCAAATGATCACCAGACGAACAAGTGTCGTAATCAACTCATTGATCATCTTACCAGGCAGTGTGCGGTGAGCTCGTGGCATTCAGACGCGTGTCCATGGCAATGACAAGCTTCACACACACCATTGTACAGATTCCCGTTAACCCTCCGAAACCCGGGAATACACGTCTGTAACACACACACACACACACACACACACACACACACACACACACACACAGACAGACAGTTAGAAACAGAGTCTTTAAGCTACTGTGGCGCGTTTACCCTGTGATCCTCTGATTAGCACCTTGTATGTGTATGTGTGTGTGTGTGTGGGGGGTTGTGTGTGCATTATTTGTGTTACACCGTGAATGCTTCTGTGTGTGGTTATGTCTGTTCGTATGCTTGAGTTTGAAAACCCAATGTGTGTATGAGTGTTTGTGCGTCAGTCAAGATTCGAACAACAGTAAGTCAGCTGCATTCTGAAACCAAACACTGGTTTGACGTTCAGCTTTGCTTAAGAGCCTTTCAAAGAGAACTGTGGATGATCCTCTAATCAATGATGTAATACTTAATGTAACACATTTAGGAATCAGGTATACTGAAGTCAAAATATAATAAATCATACTGATGTTGCTCATTTGCTTAAAATCTCATGTATTTCTCACAGGTTTTTATTCCTAAAAACAAATTTCCCTATTGGATTGAAAATGAACTTGCAAAGACTTAAGATGTGCTTGAGATATACAGTATTTAGCTTATGTTATACCTCATACCATTGCATTATTGTTATACTATTAATACTGTCTTGCAAACATGAAAACAGTACTTTTTCATCACTTACAGACACTGTGATTGTTGAGTTTAATTTGAAAAGTATAAATAAGTATAAAGAAACTATAAATAAATCCATTTGATCTAATCTGTAAAAGAAAGTGGTTTATTTTCTATTGATTATTGTAGAGTACGGTTTGAAGTCGCAGATGGTGTGTGTCTGTGTTTACCTCACAGGAAGTTCCAGCATATCCAGGAGGACAAGAGCAGCTCTCTACAGCTGATGCTTTCCTCTCTCCTCTGGCAGAGGGATTAGCTACCTGCATTGAGAATGAGTGGAGTCTACACACACACACACACACACACACACACACACACACACACACACACATAAGTAGTTATATAGTTGTATAGTTAAACATGTGCCTTCACTTACCACTAAAGGCTATTTGGCTGATTCGGCTTTTAGAACTTTTATGAGCAGAGTTCATTCTCTCATGCAGAATTTCCTCCAAGACAACAGTTAGATTCACCAATTAAACTGCCACCTTTATGTTTTGGTTACATAAGGTTAAAGTAGGGTTATTCACAGGCTAAAAGAAAGAGCTGCCTGAGAGACTCAACTCTGGGCAAGTTGTTTTTGTTTCATGAAGCGAAAAACAATATTTCATTTCTAAAGCTGGTGAGAGTTTATATTTCTTGCTACGTATCAATACTTAACATGTTAAGTTTTGGAGCATTGTGTAATGGCTGTGTAAAGTGTAAAGCGTGTGAGTGTAAGTGTGTGTTTCTACCTGTACACAGCGCTGGGTTCTGTGCTATAAGAGGCCCGCACCATCACTCTGGTCACGCTGGTCAACACAGACAGAAAATCCCTCCGGCTAATCGGCTGTGCGCTCTCTGAAACCAGGAAATTCTCTGGAAGGAGAGCGATGCGATTGGTGCTTGGCGAGGACGGGTACACTGGCTGGCCAAACCGTCTGTCAATAATCTTGATCCCGCCTCCCTGGAAGAGAAAGAAGAAAACATTTTGTATTAACTTTTTTTGTTGAAGTTTACTTTTAATTCCATAAATCTAGACAGTGGCTATCCTCCACAACATGAACACAGTATGAGAAAAAGAGCATAGGCGTGAGCTGCAGTTTCTATTGACATTTAGAATGGACTGAATTCAAAGTGAATTGAGAGGCCTGGTACCTGACTATCTCTTGTTGAGAACAGATCAATGGTATATAGCGGCTAACGCAGAGTGACAACTACTGATGGAGAGAGAGAGAGAGAGAACTTACCATACCAATGAACCATTAAATAAAAACTAGCTGAAAGAGAGGAGATGGGAGAAGATATAGAGAGACAGGGAGCAGCAGGGCCGAGATGCAGAGATAGGTACGCAAAGAAAGAAAGAAGGAAAGAAAGAAAGAAAGAAAGAAAGAAAGAAAGGGACAAAGAAAAGATGCAGATTGACAACAAAAAAAAGACAAAGTCACCTCAGAGGAAATGGTTTCTTGTGCATCTTGTGCTACTGGCATAAGAACATACATGGGCATTTAAATAGAATTTGGACATAAAATAAAGTTTTCATCTGTTTTTTTAAGGCAAAATAAGAAACTTCAGATGCAGTACATTTGTTGTTATTGCTGTCATGAAAGGCTTGGTATTTACATCTTTTTTTTTTTTAACTCTGCAGATGGAGGGCTGATAGAGTAGGCTGTATTGAGACAAAGACATTGCAATCAACAAAGCCGTACGGACAAACAAAGACAGAGAGATTATTGTCTATTCAGATCCCACATACTTGCAACCAAGGCTTCACAAAACCACGCACACAAAGCAATATCACAACTTGTTGCAGATATGCAGAGAATAAACAGTGGGGGGGAAGAAAGAAACGAAAAAGGCTGAAGAGAGACAGCGAAGTGAGAGAAAGCGGGTTGACAATGTGTAGGTGGTTGATTATCATCATCATTTGGAGAGGCTTTTTGTTGACAGGGACGACACTTGTCCTCCTCTCCTCCCAGTCTGCCGATCTGACTGACACTTCTCTAAATAACACAAGTTCATTGGTCTGTGACTATCCATCTCACAGTTTTCTTTCTTTCCTTTTTCCCTTCTGTTCATCTACTTCCCTTCCTTCTACACTTCTTTCCACTCTGTTGATTTCATTGTTTTTTTTCTTCCTCTGCTTCTTTCCTTCTTCCTTCCTCCCTCTTCTCTCTTCATTCTTTCTTCCTTGACATGTATCTTTCTTCCTCCTTACTTTAGTCTTTCCTTTCTCTTTCTTTCTCCTTACCCTTGCTCCTTCTGTCTTTCCTTGTTTCATGCTGTCTTCCTCATGTCTCTCTGTTTCATCTTGTCCTTTCTCCTTCCTTACACATTTGCTTCCATCTTACCTTTCCTTCTTCCCATTCTATCTTCCTTTGTTTCTGCATATACAGTATGTGTGCATTGCTGTGGCACGTGCACACATGAAAGTCGTATTATATATGTTTTGCATTTGTGTCCATATTTAACCTAAAATCACATCTCTACAGAATACTTATTTATCTGTTAATTATTTTGCAGTCGGTGCATTAGAAGTGGATTCCCACATGTTATTGCAGCTCATTACAGATTTTTTTCAAACTATTCTAATTAAAACTTCCTCTTCTTTAACATGCCATTGGTAGAAAGACGCACACACACACACACACACACACACACACACACACGCACGCAATGTTGTTTAGTGATGTAGGAGATATAAACAGTTAACTAATAGTGTTGCTGCTTTGCTTATTGCTGCCATACATCATATTGCAACCTGCTCATTATAAAGAGAGGGGAAGAGAGACTCTATCTGCATCTTTTATTGCCATGTTCAGCATTTATCTGCCAGCTGCACTGTAGCTGCCTGCGTGTGTGTGTGTGTGTGTCTGCTTTTAACAGCTTGTATTTGCTGCTTCATTTAGTGGTCTTCACTGGTGCAAAAGTCAATGGCTTAGGGAAAAGATAAATAATGCTGCTGACACAAATACATAAACACAGAGATTCACACTTGTGTTCATGTGGGTTTCCTCTGGTTGACCGAGGTGCTGCCCAGAGAACTGAAACTTATCCCAGGTCTCTACACTGCCCACTGTTCCTCAGGAATCTCTGATATTTACAGACTGGACTTAGCAAAGCACAACTTTACAAATCAGAACCTATTTCACACACATACTGTATAAAATAGTACATACGGGTAGATGTATTGTTAGAAAGTTCTTCATTTGTGTTTAACATATATAAGCATGCCAATGCTCTATGATGTCTTGGTCTTTGTGCATCTTTGAAAACTTACCTCAATGACTAGGTCAGGTTGTGAGGTCACTCTTATGGCCATTTGTTCTTGTTGGTCAGTCGTATAAGACACAGTGTAGACCAAACTCCCTCCATAGGCTGAAAGCTGAAGACAGACAGAAACAGAGGTTAGATTAGTAAATTCATGTTATTTGCAGAATCAAAAACATAACCTAAACATACATAATAGGAGAATTACGGCAAATTATTGACGCGTCGAAAGATGCCACAAGGGACAATTTGAGGATGGTAAACGGTACAATATCGTTTAACAGTAGCACACATAGAGAATAGTCAAAAATGTCAGTAATGTTAGTTACACAGCAATATCTCCTTCACTAGTCACCAGAAGCTACTGGTCAAGGACGCAGCACTGCTGTACCAAATACTATAACAGAAACACAAAACCACAACAACTGCTTTTACAAAAAATAAAAGTATATTTGTATACAAATAAAAGTATATTTGTATACAAATAAAAGTATATTTGAAAATGTTTCAAAAGTAGGGAGAACAAGAATATGCTACAATCGTTGTTGTCTCGTGTGTTTCGGTGCAGTGTTTCTGTCGAGTCTACAGAATGAGCTTTCGCCGGAGAAGTGCTGCCTCGGCATGATCCTGAAATTTATTATTCTGCTCCAACCTGAACAGTAATGGGTGGGAGAGCGAGATAATAATACCACCATAAAAACACAGAGAGGGGGACATTGAGGAAGAGGGGGAGAGAGAGAGATGAAGAGATAGAGCCTGAGACAGACAGAGAGAGAGAGAGAGAGGGAGAGAGAGAGAGAGAGAGAAAGAGAGAGAGGGAGTAAGAGGTGAGCTTAATGCCTCTATAAACCTCTTCCATTCTACATCATTACTCTCGGTCCTTAAACCGAGAGGAGGAATCACCCATTTCACAGCTGACTGAAAATACACACACACACGCACACCATAGCAGGCGTGGAGGTGTACTTGGTTTGGACATTTTATTGACTAACACTTATTTTTCATCTAACCCCATTTGCTGATTTGGTCTCCAGAAGACAGTAAAATCGTGGTTTAAACCAACACTACGCAGCCTGCACATATCTGACACTTGTGCTGCTCGACCTCCTTCACCATTAGCTCCTCTGCATTCACACACACTGAACTCAGCATCCACACGAAGGGTGAGCCTCCTATACTAAACATAACTGTGTGTAGGTTTGTATAGATTGGTTCCACTGCAACACAACAGCGGCGTGATGAATGCAAGAGTCACCAAAGAAGACGATGTATTAGAGATATATATTACAAGACATCATTTTGAAGAAGAAATAGGGTTTTGTTCTTCTTTCTTATTCGTTATACATCTCATGACCACTAAGATGTGTCCGGTCAGGCTGAGAAGTGGTGGTTTAGGGCTGTAAGTGCTTAAGAGAGCTGATTTGCATGTTTTGTTCTTGTTTGTATTTTTTACTGTTGTTCTGTTCAGTAACCAACCAGCGGCAAAAGAATTATGAAGTAGAAGAAAAGGCTTCTCTCTGGTGTGATCTCAAGAACACTTTTAACTGATGGAACTTGTGCTACTTTTGTGGAAGAGTCTCTTTCGCACAGCCGAATTTAGCAATTGACTTTCTTTGAAATCTTTCGACATTTCTCAGAAAACTCATTTCAGTGACGCCATCCACTCAACCTGGACAATAATAAAAGCTTTAGTCGTGGCAACCTAACGACCCATCTCTACCTTGGGGGATAGGAAATAAAAGAAATACAACACAAGAACGAGAAAAGACCAACAGAATAGCACAGCAAGAGAGGGGAATTATGGGGAGTAGAAACGAAGGAACAATAAACACTCAGCCACAAAGCTACAATAGATTTGTCAGATCCCCCTGAGAGCTCCATAAGCGTGTTATTAACTCTATCAGTGGGCAGCATGACGCAATCAGGGCATAGTCCTCTGTTAAAACCCTAATCAAGAACCTGACACAATCTTCATTTAAGAACATTTTTGTCATGGCCATGGGTATATCAGTTCATACAAGTCATTCAGATGAATATGTGGGGGCAAGAAAAGCAAAATAATCCCATATCACAACAGTAATATTTACTGAAGAAAAGAAATGTGAAAAAAATCAACTAAATCGATTGATTGAATGGGAAACATGTGCTTTAGTGGTCCTGCTGCAGTGTTGTTTTTTTGTATGCTGCAATGTAAATTTTCAGTTTCCTGCACCGTTTATTAGTACGAGTGGATAGAAAGTGGACACACACAGAGGAGGCGAGATGGAGAGACTGGAAATAAGAGAATTGAAAAGAAGGGAAGGAGGCAGACAGAAAAGAGGAGATAAAAGTAAAGAAAGATAGAAGCAGGACAGGAGACTATAGGTTCAAATAAAAGGGGAGGACAGGATAGGGGGGTGGAATCGAGCGGAGTTAAAGTTATGAGATTTAATTTGCTGCCTATGCTAAGGAGTGGGTTTGCCATGGAGCGAGAAGAGGTGTAAAAATGAGTCACTATCGACCTCTGTCCTCCTCCAGGTTCCCACCAGAGTCCTGATGTAATATGACTTTTCCAAAACTGTAAATAACCAAGTCAGAGCATCTGAATCAACTACAAGTGTTAGTCAGTCCTGATTTTAATACTATTGTTATTCCAAAACTGTAACATTTCTGCTACAGTTTGACTTTCTGCAGATAACATCATTTTTTCTTCCTGTGAACCATAGTGTATCTCACCGGAGTCTGAGTGACTGATTTTTTGGGGGGTAAATACACTTTTACAACACGTCACACACAATCACGGTTAGGTAGCTGACATTACTGACCGGCTTCACGGGGTCTAAGCTGACAACACCGTGGAAATCTTAACACAGTGACAGAACAGTAACTCTAATCAGTAATGTTACCACTGTCACAATAGAACAAATTAACAAATTAGACAAAAGTAGCTGCTCTGGAGCCTCCAATCATCCAGCCTGGTCATCATGGAATTGTACATGTTGAAATTTCCATTTTTTATTCCTTGGAATTTTCAAGGACTTCTCATCAACGGTTGCTTAAGTTGAGTCTCACGATTTATGGATGGGAATTCCTTAAATTGCTCAGAAAAAGAAGAAAAAAAACTTTGGAGATGAACAAGAAAAGGTTCAGTCCTCGTCGGAAGTTATGGCAACACTTAAAAGTAAAAGCTATTAGTGTGCGACTTTCTTTTGTGCCTGCCACCTGCTAGTTTCTTCAGAGAAATGTGTTTGCCCATCTGCAATTGTACGCCTGCTTGCTGTCAGTTTTTGGAGTACAAAAGCAACCAACGCTCTCTTCAGGAGATTGGGCAGAGAGAGAGAGAGACAGAGAGAGGGACAAAGGAAATCATCCTTCAGGAAATGAAAACCAGATTGTCACAAAGGCTTCAGAAAACAAACTGCCCTCAAAATGACACACACAAACACACGCGTGCAGGCGTGCAGACAAACACAGGAACACACACAAAAAAAAAGCGAAACAAAGACTTATGCACAGAGAAACTTAGAGATATAAACGCACACACACACACATCTAGGTGGCCTTTATGATGCCTGTGGTTGTGTGCAATTGGTATCGGGAGTTTTCACTCTATTTATTTACCGGTTACACACACAGACACACACACACACACACACACACACACACACACACACACACACACACGTGCACACAGACTGTTGTTGTTCCTAGCAGTAGGTCAGATTGGCTCCAGATGGACCAATAGAATGTGGAATGCTCAACAACATACGACCCAACTGACCTTCAGTGTGTGTGCGGGATATATGTTGGCAAAAAGAAAAGAAAGTCCTTGTCGGAAAAAGTAACAAGATCCAGTCTAGAGCGTGTCTTGTTTGGTTCTATATCTTCGAGCAGAGCCTCTGTGAAGAATGGCTTTGGTGTGAGTGTGCTGCTTCACGCCTTTTGGTGGGAGATAGGCGCGGTATAACCTTGAGGCAAATTGTGCTTTCAGATTTTCTCCTGGTGTAAAGAGACACTGTGTCCATGAGGTTGTTCGCTATCCATGGCATCCATTGTAATGTCTGAATGGCTTGTTAAATCACACAGAGATTCCACAATGCTGCCGTAAAGAAGAACCGCCAGCTTTTGTTTTCCACATTGAACCAAACAAGAGCAGTGACATTTAACACAACATTCCGCCTCTGGACCTTTCATATTGAACAGCAAGGTGGAATAACAATAGCAACAGCCCTGAATAGGCTATGCGATTTCTGATTTCTTTGTTTGTTTTTTTACATATGTTGACTTGGTATTCCTCTGCAGTTTCCCCAGGCTGGGAGAATGTTTTGGCAGCTGCGGTATGGTCCTGCTTGCACACGGTAGAGGTTGAAGTACTTGCTTTGGACCCTAGAACAACCCAGAGCCAGGGGGTCCTCTTTAGTTGTTTGCAGTGTGTTTGGTTGGGGGTCAGTCAGGAGGTATGAACCCTGAGTGGGTGCCGGCGGATAGAAATGAGGCTGATCAGTTGTCGGCGGGACGCTCTGCATGGGGTTTGCCTTCAGATGAAGGTTTGGGGTGACAGGCGGTCACTTGATGAGGTCTTTTCAGTTTAGTGCTTTAAGAGGATCAGAGGGGCAAGAAGTGAAGGGCTGATGGGGTTTTTGATTAGGCCCAGAGACACATGGGCACATACATACAGTTGTGCACATGCATCCATTTCCCCCTCATGTACTTATTGGTGAGGTTTGACGATGATTTGATGAGGATTTAATAAAGCCACTTTGGTTCAGGTCACTGTCTGCATTTTTACGTACGTATGGTTCAAAAGAAGAAGGAAGCAACATAGTTGAATTTTGAGGCAGTTATGTGCAGGACTATGAAATGATAATCATGCCTGCTGGTGGCAGAGGGAAGGTTAGCTGGAATGAAACTCTGGACGCACGTCACATCCAGGAAGATGACTAAGAGCAGCTCCCTCATTTGCTTCCAGTGTCCAAGAGCCGATCAATTATTATTCTGCACTCCCACGGCTCGCTGGCTCTTGAAAGTCAACTCCAGCATCTTGCTGTGCATCAGACTTTAAGTGACAAACAATGGCAAAATGACACCCTGTATTCAATACAGTCGGTGCAGATCCACCTCTGAGGCTAAGATTAGACATCCTGCTAATCGTGTGACGGTAAACACAAAACCACAAGTCTCTATCAGCCTCCACACACTGCCAGGTTGGACTTTTTGGAAATGAAACGAATTGCTTTACAGCACAATGTAAGCTTTATGGCACAAACCCATCTACTCCACACACTTATTGACAGTTATTAAGAGCTGTTAACAACGGTCATATTCCCGAGAAAAAACAGAAGAATGCAACAATTTTTACAAAAAAAAATGACATTAATTCTGTTTTTGTGATGAAAGCATCAGTGAATCACAATTGCAATGATCATATATGTTGTATTACTGGAAGTGAAAACCAGGTGTAATTATTTCTTTTCTTTTTCCTAAGCCCCAGGATTGCTGTGTGGAGCTGTGCGACACACTTTCCAGGAACTGAAATGTGTGACACCAAATTATTTGGTTGGTGAAAACTGGAACAAATCCACTGTGATTGATGTAAAAGGCACTTTTTCAGCCATGTAAGTGAAGAAAAAAAAAGAAGACGGAGGGAGGGAGAAGAAAGTGAGGAAACGGGAGGGGAAATCCATCTCATGCAATCAAGACCAGATTAGGAGTGGCACTATACACAAACTCCTCTACACACATGTTCTCTCTCATAAGTCAAAGCTCAGCTGCTTGGTGAAAGCTGATGTTCCTCTCGTGTATTTGGCAAAAAAATTTTTCCACTGAAGTATTTTACAGAAACACTTTCAAGACTTCCGATTTAATCAATCACGACTTTGAGGTGTCAACCTCCATAACCAAGGTGAAACCAGGACATTTTTCGAAAAACACTATTCAGCCTCAAGTTTACACCTGTAGCAGGTTCTCCTTGTGAAGGACAAAATAGAAGACAAGACCAGAAAAGTGAAAAATGGTGAGAGAAAGTGGGGGAAGGCGGAGGCAGAGTTAGAGAAGGAGTGAGGATTAAATGTAACACAAGCTGAGCTGTGTGTGTTTGTGTGCGTCTGTCAAGCCTCAACATATTTTGAGACTTCTTTCATCAGCTGTCGGGAGAGGATGTGTCTCCTCTTTCGATGTTCATCCATCATCCCCTTTATCTCCCTGCTTCAACCTCCCTGTCCGCTCGCTTTCACTCCCTCCTTGTCACTCTTTCTCCAAATGATGAGCATTTCTTGTTTTTGAGCATTGTATCTGACTCTGAGTCTGTTGGTGAATCTGGGTACAAGATGTATACAAGGAGGTTAGGTCGTGACTGCTTTTGAAAGCTGACAAAGTTGCTGATAGGCAATAGTTTATTTGGATATTTAACATTTGAAAAAAAAGTTTAAATACACAGCATTTTTTCTCAGAAATATCTTGTCAGAGTGGTTTCTACACAACAACATTTGGACCATCAATGTTTCACCATTTGTGCTGCAACAGTTTCATAATGAACTGAAAATATTTTTACACATCTCAACGGGTGAGGTCAGCACAGTCTGGCCGGGGGTTTCGCTCGGCTGGTCAAGGACGGCAGCTTTGTGTGGGAGGATCCCCCTCGTGGGACCATCTACCCGCCGTTGGTCCTCGCCAGGCACATTTCCGCCGGGACCAGCTCTAGTTCGGCTTGGAAAAGCCCGGGCTGAAGGTGGCTTGAGGCTCCGGCACCCCTCTCTCAGGCTGCTTCTAGGGGGTGGTGGACTTGGACTTAAGAGTTCACTGCGCATTCTCTCCCAACGCATTCTCACTCAACCCAACTCAACGAGTTGGGTTCCTGCGGGGAGAGTCTTGTTTACCATACTTTGTGGTTGTGACTATTTTTTGTCATCACCATTCATATCTATACACCCAATGTGATGATGATTTAATTGTTTACTCGACCACAATATTGTTTACAGAAGCACAACGTTCTTAATAGATATAAGATAAGAGCTGATTTAAATGTGACTGATTGAGTTTGGAGCCAGTTAAAAGTCTACTCCCAAAAGCCAACAGTCTTAAAGTAAAAGAGTCACCAAAATAGTTTGAAAACAAGTTTTAAACACCCAGCGCATTTCATAAAAATAACACTACACTCTCATAGTTGCTACATCATGAGTTTATATTTGGCTCTTCACGCTGATCCCTACTCATCTGCACTCCGCTGCCAAGTAAACCAGAAAATATTCTTCTAGCAGAGCATGCTTTAAAAATAGCAATGGCAATCCTTGGGAATGAGCAGTCCCTTATTACCTACACAGGCAATAAAAGACCCAATGAGCATCAGTGGAGCATGCTTCTGGACCAATGAGCGTCCACAGAGCGCACTAATGGGCCAATGAGCATCTTTGGCATTAATCGTACAGGAGGTCATGCGCGAGAATCAAGAACGTTATCACACACATTCATATTCTTATATACACACTATACACTATACACACTAACACGACAGACCACACTGTGTGTGTGTGTGTGTGTGTGTGTGTGTGTGTGTGTGTGTGTGTGTGTGTGTGAACAAGTCGCATAGTCAAATCACATGGAGCATCTATCTCTATAACACGATCAGAGATTGAAGCAAAGAATCGCTTTTTCATACAATACTCGCACACTGCTCCTAGCAATCTCACACACAAACATGCATGCGCACATACACAAACGCACACACACACTTACACACACACGCACAAACACAGAGTGGTAATTTGTTTGTTTCCCATGTTTGGAGGCATTCGGTTCTGCTCCGCTGTCCCTAATGCCTCCAAAACACATCATTATCTGACTTATTTAGGCCTGGGAGTGTGTGTGACGGTTTGTGTGTATGTGTTTGACTGAGAATTTGTGTTTCTGTTTGTGTGTGTGTGTGTGTGTGTGTGTGTGTGTGTGTGTGCGTGTGTGCGCCAAGAGAAAAACAGTTGATTATCGAGTTCAACAGGCGAAACACTGTTTACCCTGAGAGACACAAAGCAAGCGAGGGAGATACGGAAAAGAAGAGAGAAGAAAGCTTGGGGGAAGTAGAGGGAGATGATTTAGGAACAGGGAGGTGAAAAATGGGAGTCCTGGAGAGACGGAGTGAGAGTTAGAGAAGCAGACCAATGAAAAGAAGCAGGGATGGTTAGAGGGAGGGTGGGGGGGGGGGGAGGGAGGGATCAGACAAAGAAGTGAGATGACAAGCTAGGCCTGCAGGGTGCAAAGTAATGAAATTCTGTGGTATATTCCTCTAAGCCATGACACCCAGACAAACATCACAGTCAGTCTGTTGTTGTAGTGGGGCAACAACTCGACTTCAGAAACATGGACTGCAGCTATTTGCCAGCTGGAGTGATAAAGTCTAATCATGGCCACGGAAAACCGCAGAGCAAATTCAAACGGTCGACATTAGCAGGAGCAGATACGGAGAAGCAGGGCTGGGAGGGAGGGAGGGGAACATATCAGGAGGATACTTTCTCACCAGTATCACAAACAGAGCGGTTTACTTTCAGATCTTAATATGGATCTGTATATATATATATATTCAAGCCTGTCGTAATGGTGTAGCGTTTTCATATTTGTGGCAACGCGGTCGTAAGAATTAAATGGTAGGAAGTGCCAATGTCGCGATGTGAGCCGGTAAGCAGAAAAATACTCAGTCAGATAACACATTATTAATGTAATCAGATTGTAATAACGCAGAACATAACTGCTCAACTGATTTACTATTGTGACCTTGTGCAGTCTGACTGTTGGTGCAACACCTTTGGAATAATAATGAAAACTGCAAAAAAGGTTTCATTCTCATCATATAAGGTCCAAAGCAGTCGCAAATAAATTGCCCTGTACTGTAACATATTGAGTAATTAGGATTTCTTTTAGTATGGCACCTTATTGTACACTAGACACAATATATTCAAATCATACTTTCTATAGGATGACAGTGATGTCATCTACATGGAATGAAATTTTTATACAATCCCGTACAAAGTGTCTGAAAATAGGCTGTGTTAGTGAGGTGTTACACAACTGTGTCGTTATCTTTCAAACATCGCTATGTGTAGGGGTGAAGAATACATTTAAATTTGATCGTGATATGGCTCATTTGTTGCAATATTTGACTGACTTCTATGCATGCATTTGTTTTTAATAGTAGTAATACTGTTAAATACCCTGGTAGTGGTAGAAGTTGTTGTAACCTCACCAAGTACAGCAATAATCACAGGAGTAATTAACTGAGTTAATTTGCTTTGTCTCATCATATTCCCGCGTTCCCGAGGAAAATTTACACATGAAAAACTGTGAGAATAAAATGAAGGCAATCAAAATAAAAGTCCATCCTTGATTACTGTGCCTTGAACTCATACAATTACAAACTGTCGAGTACAGTACAACTGCTAAATATCCACTGAATGTGAGGTGAAGTGAAGAAGGATAGACGCCTTGCTCAATGGGAAACGTTTTTGTAACCGTGAAAGCATTATTGTCTCAAAGCAAATATTTAAGCCATTTCCATATTCCGTTTTGGAGAGAATCTTGGTATGATTTAATTTGAGAGTATATGAACAGTATGTGTACTGTACATGCGTGCGTATCTGCATCTAACCTTGTTTCCCAGGTATAGACCAGGCGCGTTCCAGTAGTAGGCGGAGCCAAGATCATTCACAACGTCCGAGTGTCGGACGCTGAGATACGGAGGTGTCTGTCTGTGAACGGACCACACTCTTCCTCCTGTTTCTCCCAGCAGGTGCCAGCCGGTCAGAGTGGTCTCCTACAAGACAAGATTCAGAAAGAAGTAAAGATTTACCTTCAGCTCCGTCGACTGAGAAAACAACCACTTTCATTCATTCCCTGTTGCAGAAAAGTGTCAGCTTCAACGACGGAGTTAGCTTTCAACTTGTTATGGTAGGTTTTCAGCAACACCGCTGTCCCTCACTTACACTGAAAGTGAGTCAGGTAGAGACGTAAAATATAGTTATCAAGGATACAATTTATTTGAATGTTGGAAACAATTTCAGTGAGATTTTTGTAAAGTATTTTCAGAGAGTTTCAAACAGAACTGACCGTCGTGCTTGAATTTAGATTAATGCTTGTTGAGCACAGAAGCTGTGTTCACTGTCGGCAGATTTAACAGTGAACACATTGACGCGAGTTAGTCAAGTTCAATGTGGATAGAATTTAAAACCTGACAAGCTTTACTCATAATGCTCAACTGGTGTTCATGCTTTGCTGCTGCCTATGACAAAGTACTGGCTGTTCAAATAGATGTGTCGCTCTTCCATCTGCAGTTCTCCAGTACCAGTGTTTCCAGAATCATCCAGAATCACCATCTATATATATATATATAAACAGTATATAAACCTAAACTTGAATTCACCTTATTTGTTAAGCTCCACAAATCTAAACTGACTGTATCAAATATGAGTAATACTCACATCTGTAACAGTGTTTTGTTAAGATTGTGCCAGAATAGCTTTTTCATTCTTAAAATACTTCATTTTGGGAGAGTTTAAGGTCCCAATCGCTCAAAATGAAAGGTTATGTTAAGAAAAAGGTCATAATTTGTTCAGAGGTTTTGTACAAAAGTCACATTTTAGCCAGGAAGTCGTGCAACTGACACCTAGAAAGAGTTTTCTTTCTCAAATCATGAAGGAGTGTGTGAGTGTGAGTGTGTGTGTGTGTGAATGAGAGACAGCCAGACACACATCTGTCGTTGCAATTAACCTGACCTTGGCTTCCCCTTTTGAACGAACACACACACACACACACACACACACACACACACACACACACACACACTATCGGTGTCTAAATCAGAGCTGTCATCCTGTCAACGTCTCCTCTCCCCTCCTCTCCCACCCCGCCTGTCAGTCAAAAACTGTTTTCCTCTTTTCACCTCTCTCCTCCTCCTTGCCTCTTGTCTTGTCTCCACCCTTCGTCTTACCAGTCTTGTCATCCCTCCTTCTCTTTTTTCTTCTCTCACCTCTTTCCGACCCATTTTCACCCTTTTCTCTCACTTCCACCGTATTCAATCCACACCCATGTTTATTTGGTAAAGATTTGTCTTAGCTTTTAAACCTAATACCCTATCGCTACTCACTACTGCCTTTAAAGTTTGCTGTTCAAAAAACTCTGTGACAGATTTTTTTATTTTTTTTATTTTGTGTCTTGTGTCAGATGTTTTCTGCACCTGGAGGATATTTATCAAACTGGTGCACCAGTGTGGAAGAGCAGTTTTCCTGTCAACTGAGAAACTTCTTTTTGGTAATCAGTGAAGTGATTCTCTTCCCTTTATGCATATGTATGTACACAAGCATATACAGTAATTGCAATTAAATCTTCATTATGCTGGGTTAAGTTTCCTGCAATTTCTTTAAATCTCAACAGTGGATACTAACTAAACAAAACGTTGGCACAGTGTATTCAAGAAACATACTATTATCGTCAACTAAAAGCCATGCCGCTTTTGTGGAGGAGTTTATTTTCCAGTACAGGATGGTTATGTTTGGTAGTACGGTGCAGAACAGCGACAGTAAAAGTTGTCCAGCTCTCGATGGGTTGACAAGGTCAACACTGCGAGGACCATTCCATATTGGTTAAAGAAGCTATTCACATCCAGTGGGCCTCAGAGCACCACCTAATGTGCAGAGGAGATACTGCCAAAGAGTAAGATGAAATTAAAAATAGAAATAAAAATGTAATTTATTTCTCTATATAAATGTGCACAAGAATTCACGTGAATAAAACACTTCATATTAAAATTAATAATCTCAAGGACCAGTTTGAATATCACCGCGCCGATCACATCACATCATCAGGGACAAACTGTTAGCCAGCTTATAAGGCATGCGCCAACACTGTGCCAGTAAACGTTTTGTTTAACAATCAGAAGTGGGTCACAAAATGTAGAGAGCCCATTGGTTAAAGGCAAAAATGAATTGTAAAATTCGTTCATGACCGTAAGGGTAATAAGCACATCACAACAAGTGTGCATTATAATGTGCATCATGTACATATTATTCACTGGTAACTCTTTCAGGATAACAATTCTGTGGTGGATAGGAAGTGATGCAATTAAAATTTCTAGCATCAAATGTGGTTTGTTTGGATAAAAAGAGGAATAACTAGGTTGTTAGCTGAAAGCAAAAAATAGACGATGTGATGTTTACATCATCTTCATGGATTGAAATATACTTTGATTCACAATAAAAACTTTTGTGGCAATGTTTATATGTAAAGCCCAGATAAAGAGACATGTGTGTGTGCGTGTGTGTGTGTGCATAACATAGCCTACAATGTGATATGTCCACGTGGAGGCAGAGCACTGACTGGAAACGCCCATACAGGAGCACTTTTCGCAGCCACGTCGATTGTCACCTTGGAGGTTATAGAATCCCAGTTTACAGCGGTCACAGTTTTCTCCTTCCACGTTTTCCTGCAGGAGAAAAAACCAGGAAGAGACACCGAGAGGACAAAGAGGCAGCGGTTTATGAGCTGCCCTCAAATTGGGGTTATGAGCACAAAGCATGTTATTGCAGTGTTAATGTGGTGAAAATAATGATGACAGGGCTAGAAAGGTTAGCACATTAAAGTGTGTGAGTGCGTGTACCTTGCACACGCAGGGTGTTACGCATGGGTCATCGTTGGTGCTTCCTTCCACACTGCAGTTACAGCGCTGGCAGGACGGGAAGCCCATATAACCAACTGCACACCTGGAGACAAATGAGTTTAATAACAATATTAAAGATGAAGGCGATGAGTATTAAAGAGGCCTTCCTGTCACCAGAAGGTCACAGGTCGACGCTCCTAACAACCCCTGTGTGCATCCCGGGTCAGACCCTGAACCATTCGTTTGTAGCAAACACCTCGCACCACGGGTGACATGCATGTACGTACAATCTCAGAGGAAATATGTTGAATTAAAGAAACAGCTCTCTAATTAGGAGAGAAAGTGAGCTGAAGCAAAGTCTATTAAAAGGCATTTTAAGAAGTGATTTTCAAGAAGACGCTCGTGCAGCTGGTCTGATCTGAGTGCAGGTCATTAAAAAGTATGGGGGGAAAGTTGTATAATTAGATTAGATTAAACCTGAATGAGACCCACAGGGAAGTTGAGTCATTGCAGTGGGGGAAAAAAGATACTACAAACAAGCAATTATAGCAATAAGAGATAATGATAATACAATGAGTAATTTAAGATGAAGCACCTTGTTGACAGATTTACAGGTCGGACAAAAAAGCTCTTCCTATTGTTGTTTGTGTTCTTTTTGATTCACAGGTTAGGATTTTAACCTCAAGTTTGGAAAAACAAGACTTCTCTTGATGATATCAGGCTTTGTTCAGGCCCATTAGAAATAAAAGCATGTAAAATATCAAAGAAATAATATCCAAGTTGCAAATCAACAAAGCAAAAGAAACTGTTTGGCATTTATACCGAGTCCATTTATTCAGCGACATCTTTACATCGCGTAAGGTACAAAACCAAGTGTGTGTGTGTGATAGATAACAAATATCATCAAAGATCTTAATGGAAACTTTCTGGCAATTTCCAAACACTGATTGGAACAGACATCTGTTCACCTGTCACAATATATCTGTTTCTTTTTCTATACGTGTGTATGTGTGCGTGTGTTTCTCTCACCTGTCACATCGCAGACCTCCAAAACCCTCCTTGCACCGGCATGACCCCGCTGGCAGAACTGTCGATCAAACACACACAAAACACACACACACACACACACACACACACATATTTTTTAAAACAACAGCGCCAGTGAAACAGAATGGGTATCTCTTTGAAGTGGCTGCACCTAAAATAGCTCCTCATTCTAGACATAAAAACATTAAAAACACAAAGAGGAGTAAAATTATCTCTAATATAAATAGTTGTTCTGTTCTGCCAAAGACAGTTTTCAATAACAGAAGCTTCTGTGCACACAGCTGAACTTGACAAACCCCAACCCCATAGGAAATCAGGCAGGACTGAATCGATGAAACGTTGGAGTTACTGAAGTTGAGGTTATTTATAAAATGAATTAAAACATGTAACATGTGCTTGCATTCACTGAAAGCCTCTGTACGTGTCTGCTATTTCAAAATGAACGCGACTGATACACATACGGACAGACAGAAAGATTAAAAAGGTGTATTTGCATACTGGGCGTAGCCGTGCTTGAATCTGCGACACACGATTGGCTGATGGAACCGTGTGAGTCACATGTGCAGGGGATGCAGGGGTTCTCCTCCTCAGCGCTCACCTGGCCGGGGGAATAAAACAATCATTCTTGCACGCACTCACTTAATCATAACGAATCACAGGTGCGTGCAGATGTGACGTACCCCAGCGGGTCTGTAGAACCCATCGACGCATGTCTGACAGTTGATTCCAGCTGTGTTGTCGCCGCAGCCAATACAGACTCCGCCGCCACTGTTTTGACCTTGGCTGTTCAGGCTGAGTGACAGATCTGCTACTGTCTGATTAAAGTAGCACTCCTCTGCCTTACCGTGGCAGTTACACTCTGGAAACACACACACACACACACACAAAGAGTTGACACTGTAATTGATAGGATTGTTGAGTCCTGCCCCTCCCTCTCTATCAAAATACTTAAAAGAGGACAACTGGCGGGTTTGAAAGGCATGTTTTGGTTTTTTTGGTTTTATTGCCAAAATTACACCACTTATCATAACATGTGGAGACCTTATTTGTTCCAATATTGTTAACACTTAATTAAGGGCACTTGGGGAAATATATTGATTCCATTTTTTTCTGTTTTTGTAAATAAATGATGAAATAAATTCAACTAGCATTTTCTTCCTTCATTTTTTATGATTTATGGTATTATTGTATAACTGTTATACTGAACAAAGGACATTTTTGAGTTCTCTCTACTTCTCACTATAACTGTGCTGTTTCCATAGAGGTGCAGGACTTCTATATTGACGCCACAGTAAGTAAAATGTGACAGGAGCAAAAAAAATAAATGGACACTGCTTGGGTTTCCGAGGTTTAATCGATTTACTTCTTCAAAACAGGAGTTTAGAAAACATCAAAGCCGGTTACACTAAGGTTCAAACACTGACCATGAGCAGCATATCACCTCAACAGTCCAGAGAGAAAAATGAGGGTCTTTGCTTGTCCTCAGCATTTCCCACAGCATGGTTGTGAGTTGGGAGCCTAGCATTAGCCCTGTCTCCTACTCACTGAGCATACCGTCTACATTTCCCATATAAAAGCAAGGTGTTGTTCTACAAAGTCATTGTGGAAACAATTTTAAAAAGTGTTACAAAACAAGGACCGCAGGGTGGCCAGTTTGAGTAGCAGATCCATCAATAGGAAGGGTCATCAGATCCAAGGCTTGTGACACTATGAGGAGGGATTTTGCATCTCTGGAAAGTTACAGCATGATGTCAGTTCTGTTTGGTGCAATAACAAGTGGTGGAAATAATATGTTCAAATGCCTCTTTTTATCTCCAGAACATTTCAGGGCCCTTCTCCAGGTCTGATCTCAGACTTGGCACTGCTGACTTGTAAAGCTGTGCACTGCTGCTGCTGGGCTTCCCCCTATGCCTGACTTCAGTTCGGGGTTGTCCATTTCCCGCATTAGATCACTTTTTACAATGATTGTCAAGCATGGGCTGAATGGGCTGAATCTGCCACGGTTGGTTCCTTTACTATTGTAGTCTTGTTGTGTCAGGGTCAAGGCAGAAGCAATTGTTATCAGGCCATGACAACTACAGAGCCTGTTATTTCCAACAGACCTGTGTAAAATAAAATGAAGATTACATGTTGTAAGCCTAGTTTTATGATGACAGGTGGAAGCCTCTAACCTCGTCGCTCTGCTGCTACATAGTTGATGAAGGTTAATGGATGCAAAGGTGACTTTTGATGGCTCTGTACAGTCTTATGGCTCCTTCACAGTTCAATACTGTAAGGCCAGAGCTCGTATTCACTGTAGGAGGATTGTGGTAATACATTATCACAATCGTGGTGTGTGGGTACATGTGCTACATTACAATGAACGTAGAGTGGGCGCTTACAGTACCAACAGAACTCTGGAGGAACATTTCCAAGTCAGAACGATGGTTTCCGGCTAAGTAGGAATTATGGGTAGTGGTGTGTAAGTTAAGTGTGTAGTCGGTCGTTGTGTGTTTCTCTTACTCTCACAGACATGTCGGGTGAGGAAGGTTCCTGCCATCCAGGACTGTTGGTGGTAACCAGGGCAACAACGATCACAGCTCTCCCCGCATGTGTTGTGTTCACATTCACAGCTAAACTTCTACACACACACAGACACACACACACACACATAAATGCATGAAAAAAAGTTTCACAGATTTGTCAATTAAACAGACATGAGCAACTGTGGTTAAATAAACGGGTCGTCTGCTAGCTGGAACGTGCTAACAAACTGAGTCATCGTCAAATTGGAATTCCAGTGTAGCCACAATCTGTCAGATGTCTGGAGAAGGAAACATATCTACGTCTCAAAATGTTGGACCTTATTCGCTTGATTTTAATTGAGATCAATCCATACAAGGGCGAAGGCATTCATACAGGATGTAGCAGACAGAGACTTCCTCGTGTGCTTTGTCGATTTCCGTTGTACACAATATGAAAATCAACTGAAAATAATAATACAATTAGATACTTTAACTAATAACCTTTCTGTATTTAACATACATCCCATATTAGATATGGAAAATATACATATTTAACATCCGAGGACTACGGAACCCAGTCGGCACTCATTGTATGATAAATATGTAGGTAACATGTAGGTTACCAACCAGGTCTCTTTAAATCTTGGGTAGGTGACAGCAAGTAAGATAGAGTTTTAAAACTTATCCAACCAAAAAACACTTAGCCCAGTGTTGCCAACTCTTATCCAAGGAAAGTACAGCTATCAGTTTGACTGCTTAATGCTAGTGTTTTTTATTTTTTATTTAGCAATGAAAACAACTCCTTCAAAGACTGTATTTATTCAAGTTTCTCGCCCAAACATTTTTTTTACAAGATAACATTTGAACACATGATATATGTTATAATTTACCTTTTACCCAATACTTTACCGAGTAGAGCTTGAGTGCATCACCATGCAAGTCAATGCAATCTCTCTTAATGTTAGTTGTGAAAATGGAGGGCTGCAAAGCGGTAATTATCAATATGCATGACCTATTGAAAGCCAATCAAACAACAACGGATTCACAGGAGAGCCAACGTCAATGAAAGAACTCGGTTCACTTTCCAGATTGTCAAGTCGGTAGCAAATGAGTTCACTATAACTCTCGCAGGAGAGAAATTAATTCAAAACTAAACATGTTTCAGGAAATTTGCCAACTTCAAGGTTCAGTAATTCAATTTAGGACTTTCTGTAAATTGGTTGATGTGAACAGGGTGCCAGATTTAACTGAGAGGAGAGCAGTAGTACAATACCACAGCGAGAGCCAAGTTTGGATTTGTTGGCACGATGTAATTTGCCCCTTTTATCTGAGACACAACGCTAGAGCTCTGGCTTCGGGCTGTCTTTGTACTGAGCATGCATCTGAACAAATGTTCTGTAGACGATCATCAACAAATCATCTCACAGGTCTCCACCTTTTCTGCTTCCTGAACGTCTGCCCGGGTCTTTGCTGCATAGATGGACATGAACTTGTATCAAAGTAAAGGAGCTAAATGTCTTTTGGGAACAGAGCGGTAGAGGAAATCTCTACAAAATTGTAGCTCTGATATATAACAGACTAATTACGTGTAGAAAAGCATTTAAAAGTAAGTGATCTAAAATTAAAACTACATTATTCTGCTTACATTTGAACCCTAAAACCAAACATATGTTCTCAAGCAGTGTTTTAAAGATGTTGTCCTTTTAATCACTTTTTAAGGAAGCTACCAATTTTAGTACATGTCTTTACAGCAAGAATACAAAGTTAAAGAGAATTGAAACTTGCTTAACCCAGAAATTCGAGTGACCTAATCCTGGATGTTTAAGCATGAAAACACTGTTAAATCAATACGATTCAACATTTGGTATTTGGTATTTTTTACCAGCAAGTTGGAAATCTCATTTCTTGCAACGTTTTTTGCAGAAAAATCTTCATAATTGGTTTGTCTTTTAGTTAATTTCAAATACACCTTCAATATGGCCTGTAGATATGTAAAGGAATATAAAAGAAAAAGAAACTGGAGCTCTCTACACATCAGTGACATAACTTATTGTCAATGACATCATCACCAAAGGACCAGACACCAGTGTCACATCTGAGTAAGTATTCGTGGTTCAGCCTCAGGACATGTAAAGGACACAACACCCTGTGTGTGTGTGTGTGTGTGTGTGGTGAGCGAGACGGAGAAATATCAGGTGTCTGGTATCAAACACTCCACTGTTTGAAGTGACACGTGAGACAACGGTTCACTGTGTCACCTGTGTCCCCTGCAGACAGTCAGCCAGACACTCACGCACACACACACACACACACACACACAGAAAGTTTGATACAGGGCGGTAGATAAAAAGCTGGTGCCCAAGGGCGGTCTTTGCCCCTGTTCAACAGTATGGAGGAGCTCCATTACCTTGGCAGTATTGTTAAGTGGACTCTGTATTTCTCAGTCCACTACTGAGAGGTACAGAGAGTTAAGTATTTTACCTTTGTATGAGTGTTGAGTGGACAAGCTTTGGCGTGGCCGTAACAGATACACATCCCTCCAATTGAGATGTCCTTAATGGAGTAGTAGTACTGAAAAGAGAGGGAGGATGACAACACATTATAATGAGTAAGACAGCGTTAAATAGCATATTAGCGGTTCAAGCGTCAGAATTACAAGACAGTGCTCTCTCATATCAGTGGTGATTACACTTGAAAAAGGATATCCTGGGAGGAGCTGGGAATTGACCCGCTCAACCTCCAGAACTACAGATCATCGTCACAGGAGTTATACGCCTAAATAAACAATAGATGATGACAAATTAAGAACGATAGTAATACATTTTATTTCAATTTGTATCTAAATAGTTAAAGTTTTAGTAAGTCGCTGCTAAGACTTAGTATCTTGTAACATTGAGTCAAATGTATGATTAAGTATCTGATGAATTATGACTTAGTCAATCAAACGTATGCGATGGCATAGACCTATTCATTATTAGGCTTGGTAATACATGCAAATATTAGACTTGGTTTATTGTTGTTATGACTTAAGTCATTCATTAAAACATTACTTTGACATAAAGTTACAGAACCTTTTAAGACTGAGGTCTTTAAATTGTGACACGCCTCATTTTGTCCTGGACCTATTTGTAATTTTACCTGGCAAATATTTATAATTTCCAAAATAACAACAAAAAAAATGGAGCCTCACCCGTCTCGTCACGATGAGATCGATATCTTTCGGACCGTGGAGTGCCAGAGTCATGAGGTCGGCGTTCAGTGTTCTGATTCGCTGAAACACCAGCCTGATGTAGCGGGCAGAGGTGAAGTTCAGCAGGGTCGGGGATGGGTCGGCTGCACTGGGCCGGCCATTGATCAAAGACGTGTGGATCTGCAGACAGACAGACAGACAGACAGATGGGTAAGTACTGACAAGTAAAAGCAGAGATAAACTGAGACAAACATTAAAAGGTGCTTTTAGTTTTTCAGTGGCAGATGGTGGAGGAGGAGTGAGAAACTTCCTCAGTGAAGCCAGAGAAGCAACATATAAAATGCAGATCGGATGGAGGAGAAGGATGAGTAGCAACCTCTTTGTAACAGGAAGCGTTGTCTATGACACATTTGTTCTGAAATTCAAAAAAGACTTATAAATAGCCTTCAACCATGATCTTATTTGTTGGAATGCACATTTAATTATCTAGTTATATAACTGAAGTTCATAAACATGCTTAAAGAAACACCTTTGATGAAAGATTTTCAACGTGGCTGAGGTGATAGAGAAGAATATGTGTGTTTCTGTGGTGCCAAAAAGATAACAGTTTATAGCTGGACCAAAATAATCAACAGATAAAGCCTGCAGCCTCATGACAAGCTGCTTCCTGACACTCCAGACCAGCCATAGGCTAATCTCTTTAAACAGATTCTGCATTCATGCGCAACGGGACAAGATGTTGGTATCGGTTGTGGTTTCTGTTTGTAGTCCGAGTGGTATTAACCAATCACATTTGAGCAGACTTTGGTTGAATGCAGGTAAACGGTCCATGTGGAGAGCAAAATAGGCGGAACAGATTGGCCGAAATGCAATCTCAGAACCAATCGCCTATTGTCTAACAAGCCTTATTTTGGTTAACAATGAGCTTGTATAATCTGATCGAACACGTCATCTCTCAACTCCAGCCTTGCATCGTAAGCTACTATTCAGATTGTAAGCAATGAGCAGCGCGCGGAACCGAAAGTCTTGGCCTGGATATCTGCTGGCTACACCCGAACCCCAAAAATATAGTCCATTGCCCTCACAGACGTCAGTCCTCAGACTTATCGCTGATGGGTTCTGAGATTGGTGATTGGCTACCTGGAACAAACCTTCTGCTCAGGTAAACATAGAGTGAACAAGACTGATAAAGCATTTAAAATAATACACAACAACAAAGAATACATTTCAGATTCCTCTTTTACTGCAGGCACACACAATGTATCTATGGCCACACATGCAAACTCTCATTAGTGGACTAACTGTAACAAAGTGGCATTTACTGCAGAGCAGTTTTACCCTTTCTTCCACAATGTGACAGCCCTCACTCAATCACTGTTTAGAGGAGCTGATCGTGCACACCTGGGCACTCTCTCCTTTCCTTTTGTAAAGGATGGTCCAGTGTACCCTGTGCTAAAGAAGTTAAGAAAGGAATGGAAGGATTTGACCAGTTCTATCATGGCTGCCACTTAGATACTTCTGGGTCATTTCACTCAGTTAGGAACCTTCTTTAAGAAAAAAACGATTTAACCCTGATTTCACTTATTGAGCAGGTGATCTGCACAAACATCCGAAACAGAGGAAAACAAAGGTCTGACCCCTCCACAGATCCTAATGTTACAATACAACGTAAACAATCGTGCTAATGGACAGCAACGTGTCCCGATATGAAAAAATAACCAATGAGGCAGTTAAAGATTACCATCATGCAAAACTAGGCTTCTGCTTTTCTGCATCAGGGCGCCTCATACAGTAACATGGACAACTGGTAGACATTTTAATTTGGTCAAACAAAGAAACTGACATTTTGGATTTGAATTGCCTTGCTCTGCCTTTAAATTATGTAGAAGAATACGCACAAATTTATATTCGGCATCACCAATAATCAACGGGCAGCCAGTGTGAGGTCCTGTCTGCCTGCCTGCCTGTCCATCTGTCTGTCTCACTAATGTGGCCAAAAGCAACATTTGTGATCTGCAAAAAAGTCTTACAGAGTGGGCTGACCGTGTGTGAGAGTGTGTGTGTGTGTGTGTGTGTGTGTGTGTGTGTGTGTGTGTGTGTGTGTGTGTGTAAAGGGGGAACACTTGATGGGTGC